AATTTCAGCCATTTTTCTTCACCCAAGTTATTCTTGCCATGTCACATTATTGCTGGAAGAGTTTTCAAAACCATTAGAGTTCCGACAGGTTGCAGAATGATGTGTTTTATACAGTCCTGAATGGACCATATTTTTTCTCAGGCTCCTGTTTTTAATTTGGACATTACACAAACCCTGTAGAAACTCCATTATCCAGACACCTTTTATGCCATTTTGGATATAGCAGCCACGCGTCTTCCAGTCTCAGCAGAAAAATAATCTTTCATACACCATTGTATTTTGAAACAAACCGTGATTTTCCTTCTTTTGAAGTCTCATATGTACTTTTGGGGTTTGTTTAGCAAAGTCTAAATGGATAGGCACCCAACTCCAGCTGTACAGTAATGGGCACTGGATACCTATTACCCTTCTGTCCCTTTCGAAACCTCATTTCACAGTGAGATTCATTTCGCTGTGCCTGAGTGTGCGCCCCTCCATGCAGGGCTTCCGCAGTAGGGTAAGTGGCACATCATTAGGCACCAACTTACTAGGTACCAAATCCAAAGCTTTGTGGCAAGAGCCTGAAGAAGTAGACAGTTCTACCATTTCTTCACTGGGAGCACATTTAACTCTTTTGGAATTGACAGAGAAATTCAGTTTCAGGGCCAGAGTGCCCTTCATAGGACACCCATCCCATCATCAGCTAGGGGAAAGTACTCTTTAACTGCTTATGTCACATATCCAGCATCATAGGCCGCATTTCAGGTAGATAATGCCTGGTATACAGGGCTTTAAAAATAAATCCAAACATCTTACATTGCCCCCAGAAGCTGATAAAAATCCTAGGTACATGATGGGGTTTCAGTGTTAATTTCAGTCAACATTCCCAATCCTGAGTTAAGTCCAAGGGCACCACAGAATAAAAGTTTGCCATTCTCAGCAAAAGCCTATCTTACAGATTCACTTTTTGGCCATCAGAAAGAGGAGTAATCCTATAAAATAGAGACACTAAAATATAAGTCTTCTACAGCAGGGTGACAGCATTGGTAGATAAGGCTTTAAACTGACAGAGGGGAGATTTAGATTAGAGATCAGGAAGAAGTTCTTCCCTGTGAGGGTGCTGAGATGCTGGCACAGGGTGCCCAGAGAAGCTGTGGCTGCCCCATCCCTGGCAGTGTTCACGGCCAGGTTGTATGGGGCTTGAGCAACCTGCTCTAGTGGAAGGTGTTGGAACTAGATGAGCTTTAAAGTCCCTTGAACCCAATACCATTCTATGACTCCTATAATTCCTGACAGCACCTGCTTGAGTTTCATTGTGAACTATCAAAGACATCAGCCATGTTCAATAGCAGAGACATCACATGAGATAAGGCCTCGCTTTACATGGCACTCTGGAAAAAATTAAGCCTGCAACAGGCAGTTCAAACCTCTATAAACCTAAATGCTTATACATATACACAGGCTGGATTGTGCTTAACAAGCTAGAGTATCTTCTTCAAAATGTAAATATAGAAAGAGACATCTAAATGAAAACGCTTCCCTTTAACACAGGCACATTTTGAGGTAGAAACTATGAAGGTAAAGTGGAAAATATAGGCATGGGAACATTGACATTTTGGGTGAATTTAAGATGTCTTTGTCGATGTAGAAGGTGTCTGTGTGTGCTACGCCAATATTTTGAGGATTAAGAGAGAAGGCTGATTATGAATTGCCTTTTTCCTTTGTTCTTGCTGGTTTGTGAGATGCTTAATGGGACAAAGTAATGTCAATGCAGATGAGTTCACAGTTCCAGCTATCAAGATGAATCCACAAGAACAAAACCCAATGAAATGGAAATACAGAATGGATTGAGTGCCATGATGCAGTTTAGCTACAGTACGTATTAAAAGTTCTGGGTCATCCCACTTGAGTTTAATCACATAGCTAAGATGCCTAAGCTCAGAGCACCATTGCCAAAGGCTTTCTGCAAGCAGGGAGTGGGTCACTCCGAGCCACACACTATGGGAATTTTACAACTGCCACATTGCTCACAGGCACATCACAGGGAGGGAGGAGGCTTTTGGGATGAATATTTTGATGTAATTAAAAGCCAAGACCTGGTTTTAATTTTTGCATTTTCAGTTACATTTCTATTTCTTGTGTAACTGAAAATATTTTTTTGGCAGACAATTTCACAACAGGCATGTTTTATTTTCCAAGGAGCCCCAGCTGATGGTGCAGATGTGAGAAGTTCCTGCTGCCAGGGTTATAGAGCAGGAATTGTTCAGCTTCTATTTTTTACTTCTTCTTGAAGTCCTTTTCCTTTTGGCTCAGAACATTGAGTGCTACTGCAGGTTATCTCTACCTGTCCGTCCTCTCAGGGACAAATACATTTTTCAAGACCCATGACTTAGTTTCATTTCTGATTTACGCAAACCTCACACACAACAAAACACTCCAGCATCCATACAGAGATAGATATTACCCAGACACAGCGACATGAAAAACATACATATTCTTACAACATCCCTATTAGGTAGGAAAGGGCTGTTATTCCCAGTTTACTGACAGGAAATCAAGGTGGAAGAAAACTAAATGATTTGCCCCAGATCATACAGACTGTTTGGAACGTAGCTAGGAATTGACTGCCAGGTTCCTTAGCACATCTAGATTTGTAACCCCCAGACATACATATGCTTTGCAGCCTGCCATTATATTGTGTGGGCATGACATATGTATATATATACGTATATGAAATACATATATATTAAAAAGTTTATAAACATTTTTAATTGTCTTCATATAAAAGATTACAGCAAAGGGGAAAAAAAACATGTTATATGAATAGCGTGGAAACATTTCAGTCAAAATCCTTGAGTGGTGGTTTTAAGGATGGAAAACAAATGTCTCTAGTTATAAAGCAAAATGGAGCAATTATCTGTCTGCAACAGAGAGAATGTCTTGAAATATGTTAAATATTTTCCTCTGGGCATTATCAGGCAGAGTATGGCCATGGGTAGATAAACTGGCTGGTAAAAGTACTGTGATTCAGATGTGGAGTAGAATGGTAAAATGCAGATGTCTCCCACATCATTATTAACTTCTCAGTCAGAGTAACTAAATAATTAAGAAGGAAAATGTATGCTTGCTTTTAATCAGCTAACCACACTGATGCAACTCATTTTAAAACCGAATGGTAAAAAAAACCCACCATATCTGGCCTGATTTGGACTTCTTCTACACTTGTACACAGCCAGAGCATTGCCACCGAATGCGGAGTGCCATCGTGCAACATTACAGGGATGCTGCTGGGAGGAGAGCATGGTCCAGCAAATTCAAAGATACTGTTTTATAGGGAAAGCTTTACATGCTGGCCACTTTTTCTGAGGAACTAACTTTAAATAGCCTATAGGTTCCTTTATGAATGTAGCAGCTCACTTCCATGAGCCTATTAATTTACTTAATAGGTTATGATTATTATTGATTTAATGGTGATAAGTCTCAAATTCATGCTGTTGAGGAACTGCACCAATATCCTTTGAATTCCATTTAACTGAGATCAATGGTAAATGGATCAGGCCCCAAAATGAAGTGGCATTATTGTAGAATGGTTCAGGTTGGAAGGGACCTTAAAGAATTATGTTTTATTGTTTTTCTTCCTACTATAATGGTAAAATGGGTAAACAAGGAAACCCCATGCTTTACAATCCTTTCCTCCCTCTCTTCTTTTTCAGATCATTTACTCATGTCTCTGTAAAAGTAATCCCATCACATGCATTTGAAGGACTTAGAGATGCCTTCATCATGTAAGTTGACATTTTTCACAGGCTTTTCCTTAATTTCTCACTAGAAATTCTATCATAAACCTCCATCCCAAACAACATCTTTTTACAGTAATGTAAAAACGTGTTGCTAAAGCACACTATAGGTGAAAAAAACCCACTGGAAAGGATAAATACAGCATTTTTTTCTTACAAGCAGTATATAAAAGATTCTTTGGAAAGCTGTGATTTTTAACAGATGTTTAACAGATCACATAATGAAACATTAATCACGTCAGAGAGAATTGGGTACAGCTTAATAGCTGATGGTAGGGGCTTCTGATTGGCAGAGGAGATGGATTCTTACCATCAGTCATTACCACTGCAATAATAGCTATGGCATTCTGCGATTATACATTTACATAATACCCAAATAAAATATTTCTTTGGTGCTGTGCACTGACAGATAAGCTTGGCAGGGGAATCAGTAGGATTGAACCTGTTTCTTGGATCTTTTGGTTTACATGTGCTGTAATTTTGCATACTGAGTCTGTGTTGCTTCCCCTCCCCTGGCTTTGTACCTATTGTATATGAAGGACCCAGACCTTAAAGCTCATCTGACCACTCTTGCCCTTATTTCTGTTGTTAGTCCAGCTGAAAGATGGCAGGCTGGAGTTTCCATTATTTTTTATTATTTTACTTTATCTGAACTGAGTGGTGTCTAAAGGACAAAGCTGGTGACACACCAGTGCAGTGCAGAACCTAAGCAGCAGCACAAATGATGTCACTTTCTTTTCAAGGAGTACTTTTTGTACCTTCTCTTCACCTATGAAAAGCACAGAGTGCACCAGATACTAAAATATGTATTAGATGTTACATAATTTACTTTCAAGTAAACAAAAAGAGAAAAGTAGAAAACTTCTTTTGTGGTGCCTTCTTGAAGGCAGAGACTTGAAGGATGGGGGTAATGCAAATGCCTGAATAGACTCAACTGGACTAATTCAGCTTTTAGTGTTCATTGGTTAAACAATTTTGGCCAAATTATAAATTTATGTGTTTCTGTAGCTCTAGCAAGTAGAAAATAAGCTAAACTCCACTGTATGTATTCCACTGCAATAAAGTAGTATGGTAAAATCCAAGGGTGCTGTATTCTTGCATTCACTTGCATCTGAATGATTAATGAGAACTTAACCATTTTCAGATAGGAGACCAACTTAACCTACAAAGTTTTACCTACCTGGATGACTTGAGGCTAAACTTGCCCAAACTGTATGCATATCCTATTCTTCACAGAGAAGATCTTGTTCATTGACATTTTACCTTTGATAAAGAGAATTTAATTGATTACTTTGTGTCCTTTTAATGGCTCTCTCCAAATTCACAGCATAGAAATTGATGTATTTGTCTGAAGTAAATCTATAGAACACTTCATATGTATATTGAGATTTAGTGTTACTTTGAAGAGTACATATTTTTAAAACTTTTTTAATTTAATCTCTAAATCACACATTTGAGAACTCATCACCATCTGCAAATCAGATGATAAATTATTCTCACTGCCATCAGTCATTCCACCATATGTAAATGGTAAACCAGTGGCAGCCAGGAGGGATCCTATGGAAGGAGCATGTTTCGGACCCCAAACCTGAAAGACTCTTCAAGCTCTGCCAGCAGGCACTGACCTCTCCCAGCCCCTGAGTCTTTAAGGATCAGGTGCCCCTTACCCTACATCTGTCTTTCATTTATAAGTAACTAGTGCAATACCCAAAATAACGATCTCACTGCATTCTGGTTATGGAAAAAATCATTCATATTTCTATACTACATACATACATGTTTAATAAATGATTTCTAGTGTGATCCCCCTTTGCCACTACGTATCAAAAAAATTTATATTGACACCTAAAGGAATTGTTTTCTTATAACTGAAATAAGGTAACTCTCAGGACTGTGACAATACTGACTCTGATTTTGTAGATGCATTCCAGTTGTTTAGAAAATATTTTTTCTTTCCAGTATATAATTTTGGGTTTAGTTTGTGTGTGCTTCCAGTCAATTCTGTCAAGAAACACACTGTTTTGAACACCTTACCCTTATATATGCATCAATATATACTATTAATTTTCAGGAGTCCATTTTGTGTAGCCCTATAAATCTCAATCTAGCAGGCATTTAACAAGCATTAAGTAAGTGGATTTTTTTTCCAGTTTGCGTGTATGAAAATGGCATTTAAAACCAAAAATTATGCATAACATGCACTGAATGCATATTTGTGTATTTCTACATCTGTGGATTAGAGAACCATCACCCTGACTTAATAATAGCATATGAAGCACTGGGAACATTATCCTTGCCCATGCAAGTAAGTTCACTAAATGGGATCATCAATGGAAGCAAAAGGCGCTGTTTAAAGACTTTGTTTACATCAGTTCTGACCCTTAGTTGCTACCTCAGCCACACTTCACTGAGAAGATGGAAATTTGCTGTTACAGAGCTACTTACTCCGGAGTGTTGGCGTTCCCTTTTGCCAAGACAGCCACAGGCTGGTCTCTCTCAACCCCTAGGGGCACAGGGTCTGGGGTGAGGCATAGACACTGCTGCCAAACGGTATTCGGTGGGGAGGTTAAACAACTCTGTATAAAAAGAGGAAATACAAATTCAAAAGCTGATTTCTTTTCTGTTAATATATTGCTCTGTGTCTGCCTTTTTTATCGTAGTGAAATCTCCCAGAGTGACTCCCTGGAGAGAATAGAAGCGAGCGCATTCGACAGCCTTCCCACTTTGTCTGAAATGTAAGCATCAGTTAAAAAAAGGCATCCATGTCATGATTTAAGATCATCGAGGAATAAGCAGTCTGCAGAGAATTATTCTTGGACCAAATCTTTCTCTATTACTTCGCTTGGCTTTGGATTAGATCTATGATGAGAAACATTTCTCTCCAAAGTACCATATGAAATAGTGAGCACTCTGTAAGATCTAGCCTTGGAGAGCTAAATCATGCAAAGACATCCATGCGTAGAGAGTCCTACAGCTTGCAGTGAGCTCAATGGCAGGAGCAGAGATCTGTCTAATTCTGCTGGCACTGCCAAGCTCTCTAAGCAGGGAAATAATTCAAGATGACAACTGATGAGAAAAAATCTTCCTTTATGAAGATGCAGTTCTCAAAGCCCTACAGAATTTAAGCACAGCTGCTTGGTATGCATAGCTCTTCTTTCGAGAGCTAAAATATTACTCAAACAGAACATGTACTGATTTTAAAGTTGACCCACATAGCACAGGCATCTGAGAGACTGAGTTAAAGGCAATGACTAGGAGAATGTTCTGAAATATTTAGTGAAATTGGAAACTAAATCTGATTCAGTAGCTCATTACTGCCTTTTTCACATAACATGATCAGTGAGTGGCTTAAAAATGGTGTAACTGAGTGAGGAAAAATCCATCTCTTTTCCTTACATGTGAACTCCATTGAAGTCAGTTTCATAAGCAATAGATACAGATTTATCCAGCTCTGGCTGGGTCCAACTTCCAGTAGAATCAATGGTGGGTTTAGGGAAGGAATAGAAGATTTGACCCCATGCATTCACCTACATTTTATGGATAGCTTGTCATTTGCCTTTCCTCCAAAACCAAGAAGCTAAGCACGACCATTAAAGAGCTACAGGAGGCTAGAAAGTTAACTTTTTTGAACTCTGAATGCCTCACGTTGCAAGGGCCTCACGTCCCAAGCCACACTCTAGGCCACTTCTAATGGATGATCAGGGTAGGTGGGTTCAGTGGCATTCCCTAATTTGATCTCTTGTAATTTCACATGCTAAAACCTTTGAATTTTGTGAATTATGCATAGGGAGGGAGCTGGCCTACAGCTAGTGGGCTTTCATGCAAACATATCGTTTTACCAGATCGTACAGCTGCAAAAAGTGCTCCTTGGTCAAGAGGTGCTGCCCATTTTCTGAGTGATCACTATTCTCACACACTTACCTCCATCTCCCAGTTTCTGCAGATCTAAGCAGGCATCTGGTGCTACTAGCCACTGCTCTAAGGGAGTCCATGGTGCTCAAAGAGGTTAAACCCTCTGAGGAACTGCCCTTCCTGGCTAGGCAGGGCATCAGTAATACAATGGAAACAAAGGATGATGCAGCTGTTATCTGTTGCCAGCTACCTAACAACTGCAGGCCGTTTTTGTAACCAATAGTGCTTCAAAATGCATTCATGGTGTATTTGTAGAAGGTTGGTTCACAGCAAGAGAACATTCTGCCATAGTCTGCTGTGGGCTGTTTTCTGATAAAGGCCATTGCAAGCAAAATTCAGGACCCTCCCCAAAGTATAACAATTATAATACTGAAATATTTTCCCTTCATTGCAGATTAATCCTGAACATGAAAAATCTGTTGCACATCGAGGATGGAGCATTCAGAAACCTTCCAAGGCTAAAATACTTGTAAGAAAGGAAGAAAGAGTTCTGTTTCTTTTCTGTTTTTCCTCCTTCTATATGAGTAGACAAATAAAGAAAGGAGTATAAGGAAAAAAAAGGTTTTCATACATTATAGTACACCAGAAGTACATATATAATTTACAGTAGCTTTAATGTGCAGTTAACCAATAGTGAGGTCTGTCAATAGGCAGCAAAATAAAGTAACCCAGAGCAGTAATGGACAAACCAGTAGTAAAGCCTGAAAATTACTTCTGCTACGTACTTATGTCTAAAATAAAGCTTTCAGATTGACACGGTACTATGCAAAAGGGGTAACTAAAATCTCCTTCTGCTTAATGTAGAGAGAACATACACTGCTTCTCCAGGATGTTGCCTGAGGATGCTACTAAACTTAATTTTTACAGACCTTACAAACACAGTTGGAGCTTACTTAAAAATTATTTTATTTGTCACTCACCTTTTAGTGCATTGCATGTTAAACTCATAACTACTGAGTTGGCTTTTTGTTGCATCCACTGTGGTAATCTTTCCTCTGATAAATAGGGGAATTATGCTTTTCTTTAGGAGCATCTGTAACACTGGAATAAGACAATTTCCAGACCTGACACAGATCTTCTCGTTAGAAGCTCATTTTATTTTGTAAGTAGAGACCCAGCCTAACCCAGCTGTGAGCCTTTGCCATCTTTTTCTTCCTGGATCACTGACAAAAATACCTTTGTTTTTTAATTTATTTTTCCTCCCAAAGGGAGCTCTGTGATAACTTGCGTATGACAACTATCCCGCAGAATGCTTTCCAGGGGATGAGCAATGAATCGCTGACACTGTGAGTAAAATAATCCTCGCTCCAGTTCCTTCTGCAACGGTAACACTTCTGCTTGAGGAAAGCTTTATAAAGCTTGAGGTTGGCTGTATGAAAATCTGGAAAGTAAGCCCCATGCAGTACATGTCTCTATTGTGAGTTAAATTCAAAATTCTTAGGAAAAAGAGGGGTGTTCTTCAAGCTGAAGAGGTTTTATCCAGAACCTAACTTGACTTAGGAAAGGAACTAGGAGGAAGAATCCAAATCCTCATCTTCCATGCAATGTTGTTTTTAAATCTACCATCAAGAGGACATAAACTCCACAAGCTGTGCTGCTGGAGGCCAAAGCTCTCATCTCCCCTCAGGGATATGGCTTCTTGAAACAGTGCTTTCGGGGACCAACCAGGCTGAAAGTACTGACCTAACACTGCTGAGCTTCAGTTGCACAGGGTCCCTCTGAAGAGGAGGAAAGGAGAGAAGAAATTGGTATGAAGTACCAATGTTTGTTGTTAGCCTGATTTCTTTTGACATTGGCTCCTATAAGTCTCCACACCCAAGACTTTCCTTTTAGCAAACTGTGGATTCATTGCTACAGCCACTTGTGCGGTGGATTGATGTTAGGTGAGATGCCCCACCTGAGGAATGCGAAAAGCAGCAGAAAGCCAAGGTGTCATCAGCCAGCACAGCAAGAGCCACCTTTGGATTTCACAGCACCCTTGTCCTCACAAAAGCTTCCACAAAGAAGTGCTGAAAAAGGAAAAAGAAAGAAATCACAGGCTGAGCCTCGCTGCAGGATATGCCCAAAATTCAGTTCTCCCAAGGAAGGACCAGCTGTGCAATAGAGGGCAGCAAGAACTGCAGTTGACCAAATTAGGCGCTTCATCAGGCTGATGTGCTGGCATGACAGCAATTTTGACACAGATTTTATGTATTGATCAATACTTTCTGAAACCATTAGAGGGACTGAGCATAATGTGACTGAAGACTACTACTACTCAATATTAAAGAGGAGCAATTGCTTAGATTAAGGCATCATTTCCTCTTATGAACCTCTTTTCCTACCAACAAGTACTATGAAAGAACTCCAGCAAAATTATGATTCTGTTAACAGTGTAACAAAATGAACATAAAAGAGATGGAGAAAGGTGCTTAAAATTTTTACTGTAACCCTAAAGTGTATTAAGTGGGAGGGAGTCTAGGTCAGGAAACAGCCAATGATCATTTTTCTCACATCCTTTTAAGATAGGGAGCTCATCAGAAGAAAGAGATTATTTTATCAACACCTTCCTAATTGTAGAGCCACACCTTAACTCCACCCTATGTGGTTAACTGCAATTAGCTGAAGTAATTCCTGTTGTTACAGCATGGTCTGGTGAATCACAAGTAATCTATGAAGATGTAGAGTGATACTTGGTTCTACAAACAGCTAATTTAGTCTTTCCTACAGTTAGTGTTTCATGTGTGTTTCTCTTCTCCGGGCTGACCCAGCCCAGCTCTCTCAGCCTGTCTCCATAGCAGAGGTACTCCAGCCCTCAGAGCATCTTCACGGCCTCCTCTGGACTCACTTGAGCAGGTCCATACCACAGATGGATTTTTCTCAGCAAAATCAGACCCATAGGCTAGATATCCTAATGAAGGAAAAGAGCTGGACTTCAGGTGCAGCAGAGCCCAGCCTTTAGGTATCTGGCCCCAGGGTGGGGAATCAAGAACCCAGGGTAGCACCAAATGTCTATGTGCAGCACAGGGGACAGCAAGTTTTCCACAGCAAAACACAACCCTGGCAGCAGTACTCTGGAGAAGATGATAGCTCGCTGACTGCTGGATGATGCACGACTCACTCCTACCTCTCTGCAAACCTGTCTCTTCGGCTGCTGGAAGATTTCTCTACAGAGGATCTGCAATGCAGCAGCATCCTCCAGGCTTTAGAAGTGGTTTCCATCTGACACTTCTTTAGCTTTTGCAGTCTTCCATTTACACTTGCTGACGCCACAAAAATCACAGGTCTTCTGTGTGCCAGGAACTTTCCTGGCCTAATATCTTGTTTCAGGATCTCAGCTCAAGGCAGGCAGAGGTGAGCCCCTCAGAGAGGGAAGGATCTGTTCATGAGCAGTTCTCTTCTACAGCTAAACAGAAAGATGCTTAGGGAATTTAAGCTCTGACTTCATCTTAATTTTAGAGTTAAGACATGCAATAGTTACCCTTGTTCTTGATAAGCAGACCCTCTAAACATTAAAATGAATGCAGCATTAAGATTTGAAACCTGTAATACATAACAATCTCATCTTTTCAAAATCTTTTTCCCTTACACGTTTTTCTTAATCCCCAGTAAATTGTACAAAAATGGACTTGAAGATATCCACAGCCATGCCTTCAATGGGACAAAGCTGAATCAATTGTGAGTATGTTTCCCTTCCTTAGTATTTCTTTTTAAACCATAAATAATTGTTCTAATATAGTCAAAGGCTCTTCCTTCAGCTTAACTGGCTGCATTTCCTGATACCCATTAGAAAACTGATGTTTCAGTGTCATTGCAACTTGGTTGTTAATCCTGCAGCACTTAGTGCTTTTCCTGAAACACCATCCCTTAGGGAACACTGCAGGTTTTGTGAGAAAAGCTCATCATTTGTAATAAAATTTCATAAATTTCTCAACTTAGCAGCAATAGCATAAAGCTTGAAACTGCAGCCCAAACTGAGGAATCTACATTTCATATCTGGAAACAACAATCATTTCTAAATCACTTTCATAAGCTCTGGGACTAGCCTCTTGATTTGGGCAAAACTTCTGCTGCATTTTTGAACACTGCTACTGCCACAAAGGAACCAGACTGGTTGTTCTTGGTTTAAGTCAGAAGAAATTAATCAGAATTAAGTGTAGATGATGATGATCTGATGGCATTAACAGAGGGAAAGGTCCCATGAGAAATACAAGCACTCCCAGGCTAGATACTGCAACAACCACCGCTGTGGTGGGAGAAAGGATTGAGGTAGAAAGGAAGAATCATAGTCTGGTTTGGGTTGGAAGGTACCTTAAAGCTCATCCAGTTCCAACCCCCAGCCAGAGGCAGGGACACGTTCCACTAGACCAGGTTGCTCAAAGCCCCATCAAAATGTAAAGAGACTTCGTGTTTGATTCCACAGAATCCTCAAGGACAATAAGAACCTCAGGCGGATACACAACAACGCCCTGAGAGGGGCCACAGGGCCAGATGTCCTGTAAGTATCCACTACTCCGTTGTTTGTGTTTATAGGTGTCCCAAGGGAATGGCACTATGCCACGTGGGCTTTGTCATCTCAGCAAATGCAGGCTTTGAGTCTGGAAGGAGACTTGGTCTCTTACCCTCTACTTGTAAAATGGAAACATGTCCATGAGATGCCATGAAACTACAGGGTGGAATGCTGTTTGCACCATGACAAATGCAGACCAGCCAGTTCTAGCACTGGCATTGGCCTCCACCTCTTAGATACTTCAGTCTTTGCTTTATTTGTGTCAGATCCTCCTGATCTTATTCCTATGCCTTATATTCTGACACTGCAAACTAACTTGTCTTTCGGTAGGATGAGTATGTTTTTACAATGTATTGTTTCAGAATTTGGTTATAAAAGTGAACCAGCTGACTGCATGTTATAAGCCTGTGCTGAATAAAACACATTATTATCCTCCTCATGATTTATCAATCAGCTACTTACTGGAGAGGCGCACTGGCTGTAACACCATGCAATAAAATACAATGGGTGTCTCTGTAGGTAGCTCTGTGCTGCATGTGCTGTTTTGTTCCTTTAATGGTGCTTTACAGTACATGGCATTACTAATACCACTTTCACAGCTGTAGCCTTTTTTCCACTGACACTGAAAATCCTTAGTCATGTTGATGGTCCTTCCTCACACAAACAGCCCCCTGAAGTTACCCTAAGTCAAACTGCTTAAGTTGGTGTTGGCAAGAATGATGGATTCTTTTATGTGTTTTAATTAATAACCATTTAATTAAAACATCTAGAACAGCCCTTTGAAGCCAAGCAGAGAGCCAAGAGGGTGTCTTACCCGGTAGCTGGCTGGAGAGTCACATTCACCTCTTTCTCTTCCTTTCTCTGGCCTTAAGAGCCATCCCTCACTCTGTGCATGGTGGCTTTCAGAGAGGTCAGGGCACAGCCCTTGGAGCAGTGGGTCTTGGTTTCCCCAGGACAAAATGAGCACCTTGCCTCACTGGGGCTCCTGTAGTTCCACAGGCCACATTTCCGAGCTGGGTAGCAGGTGCTGAAGTAGCTTTGCAGACTTAAACCTTTGTGAAAAACCAAGTTGCTGTTACCTACTGTCATACTTTGATAGATTTTTTACATATATGAAAAGAGAATGCTCTCTATTTCACAGGGATATTTCTTCAACGGCGCTGGAGTCCCTGCCCAGCTACGGGCTTGAGGCCATTCAAGTCTTAAATGCAACATCATCTTACTCATTAAAGAGACTGCCACCACTGGATAAATTCAGCAGCCTTGTGGAAGCTGTTCTAACGTATCCCAGCCACTGCTGTGCTTTTCGAAATCTAAGGACAGAAAAGTAAGTTCAAGTAGCTCATTATTGAGCTTCAGAAACTCAAAAATGGCAATTTTTCTTTATTCAGCTCACAAGATTTGAATCCTTATTCCAGTTACATGGAAGCTGTGTTATGTAGCAAGGCCTCATACAAAACAGCAGATCTCTGGTAAAGCCAGGAAAATGATCTCCATTTATTTCAGAACAGAAATGGATCCCATCCTGTGCCCAGGATCTGCCAGAAGGAATATTCTTTTAAGTTTACTTAAAGCTTCTATCTCAATTAAAAAGCCCACTGGCACATGGAAGATAGATCTCCATCAACAGAATGTTGCCCTAAAAAAAAAAAAAAAAAAAAAGAAAAATAAGAGACCTCCCCCTGTAGCCTTCAGCTGTGCAGCTTATTTAATGCAGATGATATGATGACCTAGTAGAAAAGGCAGCTTTCAGCTACCCCTTGAAATTAGGACCTGACATATACCTGCAGAAAAGAGGTTACTTGGTGTAGTTCCAGTCATTTCAGATAATAGACAGTATTGTTCTTCCCACAGTTGGAAACTGTGGTGCAGAGAGCTTTGCATCTGCCAATTCAGGCAGACAGTAAGACAACTGGAGCTAATTTTTCAGCATTTTTCTTTCAAAGAAATCAACTCTCAGTTGGCTTTAGGCAGCCAAAGCAGCTCCAAATTAGTTTAAGCTATGAGGATGTCTCACTTCTCATCCGTCTCAGATGAAGGCTATAGAAAAGACATACTGAGCAGTCACTTGTGAGAAGCCTGATCTCTGTGACTTGCATACCATTGCATCAGGACTGCACTGCAAAGACAGGAGTAGAATCCACTTCCTTTGGGTAAAATTAGGGGTGATGGTATGCTTTCTCTGCCTACCTTATTTTACTAAGTGGTTCATGCTTCTGTAAGAATAGAGCAAAGAGTCTACAGTCAAGGTTTTTCCATTGCTTCCAAACTCTGATTCAGTCCCAGATCAAGTCTCTGAGCATATTAAATGCAGAAGCAATTCTGGGAGGGAAAAAAAACAACAAGTTTTTCAGATGAAGATAACCAAGTTTCTGATATTATATTAATTTTCAAGTGCTTGATTTTGGAATGTGATCATGCTGTATAAAAACAGGGGTGCTTTAGTAAGTCACTTATATTTAGAAACTATTTTCTTAGTTAACTGGGGGAAGAAAGACCCACTCTGCAAATCAGGAAACTGGACTGCTCTCTTACTGGGGTATCAGCAGGGTTCAGAGCAGTGCTAATGCATGAGCTGTCTGCACAGCTGCTGGAAAAACCTGTGCAAGCAATGGGCTGTTATCTTCTATATGACCAGCTACTACAAAAGAATGAGAGGCAGATCTCTTGTCTGCTTTCCTTGTCACCTACTGATGACAGCAGGAGACCACAGAGACTGAGGCCTCCCAAGACCTTCAGATTACACAGGGAAGAGACTTTGTGTGGTTATGTATTCTCATGTTCACATGCCTGCAGCCTGTTTCTGTCTCCTTCTATCCCCTTCTCTACCCTGTACTCTACATACAGTCATTCCACCCAGTTTTTACTACCCCTGCCCCGTGTCCTACTCCTCAGCACCTACAGACTGCACTCTCTGCTTAGTGAGAGATGGTAACATGGTCTTACATACATCTGACTGGGCAAGCAGGTTCACTTAAGTCAGCATCACAGACATCAGGTAAATAAAATCCTCATACCAAATATTCTTGAGATTTTTGGGGTACAACTGTGGTGTGCTCATTTCCTGAGGCATGTCAGGAAGGTAGAAGGTAGCATTCAGTCCCTTGGACTTTCTTCCAATTTCCCCCCTGAATGTGGGGGAAAAAAGAAAAGGCAGGTTATACCACCACTTGGAAAAAAAAAAAAGAAACCCAAGAAAAAAAAACAGCTTTTGTTGCCATCTTATTATTCATAAGCATCACACAAGGGCTTAGTTTGGTGTCTTATTTCTCTCATTTTACATAAAACTTTCTATAAGCTTCCAGCTGTCTGATTTTTGTGAGTACACAAAACAGCTTAGTGGTTTTGCTGACTCTTTCCACTATTGCAGCAATGAGGTCAAAGCCATCTCCATTCACACTGGTAGAGCACCTAGCCCATGTTTTCAACACCTCAAAACCAGAGATTTTACCAAATAGGTCATCTTTCAACTTGTACTTTTTAAATTGCTTTACTTCCACCATGTAAAGTCTACCTCCAGATCTCAAGCAGTTGTTAAAACAGAGTATCAGGCCAGCTTTCCAGCATTTGTTAACATGCACTTCTCTAAAAGCTGGCATAACTGCCATCATCTGTGATGGAGAACCTGGCCCACTTCAATACAGTATTTAATAAGGCAAAACGTACCTTTTAATTTCAATTCAAGTTATTTCACTATAAAAAAATGGATCATAAACAATAACCAAGCTGAAAGACCATCCTTAAGCTCCCCATGAGGTACTGCTTACTGTCACAATATTTAAAGCCTTCTCATCCCTGCTTTCAGAGGTCTAAATGAACATTCACACTGCTGTGAAGCCAACTCTAGCTTACCTTATGCATCTGTGAAGAGCACTTGCAGAGATGAGAATCTGGCCAAAATCCAGACTGCAGCTCATCTTTGTTTTCATCCTTGTTTCAGACAGAATTCTTTGCTTTCCAGTTTTGACAAGTTCTCCAAAGAGTGTGAAAGCACCATGAGGAAACCAACTAATGAAATGTTGTAAGTACCTCTCTGCATGCAGATGCTGGAAGTAGCAAATACGGACTTCCCCCTCCTGCTGTTTGTGTGTTTTTTCTAGAACAGCAGGTCTTTTGCTGCCAATTCAGTCACCCTCACAAGTTGCACAGTGGTAATTTTACTATCATTAAACTAAGATTTGTGATTTTGATGTTCAAAAGGAAAGGAGGGAAAAAAAAAGTAATTTCATGAGCTTTACTCACTCCAGCTTCTCTTCTGAATTCTTGAAAGACTTTGAAAACAGTAATTAAATATCTAAGGAAGTTAACAGCCTACATGGAGACTTTTCATGCCCTGAGATAATTGCAGTTGTTTGCATGATTCAAAGAAGAGCTGCTACTGTTAATATTTTTTTGCCTATAAAAGGATAATTACAGTTCTGTATGTCAGTAGCTTCCCTTGGCAGAAATAGAGTCCCTGAGTAAGAAGCGTGATAACCCCATGCAGCTGTTTTACTGCTTCTAAACGTGTCTTTCCATATCATCACAGTTCTGTTTGTCAGTGTTCAGTGGGACAATGAGAAAGGCTAACATCAAAACTGTTGTGCTGGCCATGCTGGTTGACACAGGCTCTAGAACTGTATTCAATGGAGAAATTTAAGGATTTGCTACTGTTTATCCCTCTGCAGCTAAATGGGAGACCCTGGGATTTCTCAACAGCCCTGACATGGGGTCAGAGCATTGTAAAGTCTAGAAAATACAAGGTTACAGCCACAAAATTCCAACAGCTAAATACAGCTGAAGTGTGATCGATTCACTGGGGTACTGTCTTCCTTGGACATTATCTCGTTTGCTGGTCTGCTGCAAATGAGACCTTCTACACTTGCCATTTGGTTTTATTCGACCTGTTGTAAAGCAACAGCTGCCTTGATTCTCTTCTCACTGCTTCTCATTTGCTGCCTGCCTGCATCTCCCCTGCACGCCTCTCTCAGTCAGTCCTGTCCACTCCACTCCCAACCACAAAACTGAAGCACTTCAGGACTACAAAAAGGCAAAGTCCAGGCAGTCAACATGACCAAGAACATATTTCCTCTATGAGGGGTGGCTTTGGGGAGAAACAAGGTGAGGCAAGGAGGTAAACACAGAGCATCAGACCACATTACAAAGATGAGTAAAGTGACACCCCAGGGAGGAATATGATCATAAAAACCAGCATTGCCTACGCGAGAGAAATCCCCCTCTTTCAGATTAGCACCTGTTGCACTCCCACTGTGCATTAAATAGTCTGCCCAGTCTACTGGCTCCTGAAGATTTTGCTTTGCTAAGTCCCAACCCCAGCAATTCCCTGAGCAGATATTATATGAAGCAAATGGAAGTAAGGTCATGATTCATGAGCAGAACTGGCTGCAAGTTGCAAAGTTTGGGAAACCACAGCAGAAATCAGCTGAAAATCCTGAGCTCTTACTGGAAAAAAACAGAACCAACCAATCAACCAAAAAAGCCAGCTTGCACATGGCAGCATGTTTGCATGGCCTCTCAGAAATCAAAATCATTTTATATTCATAAATAGAAGCAAATATATTCCCTGCTCTTCCAGTTTAAGTCAGGCAAGTAAAGAAAGACATTGGGCAATTTTTCATGTAAGGAGAGAAAAGGTAGGATAACAAGACTGAGAAGTTATTTGCCCAACAGGAAGAGCTGAAAAGCAGCTCAGCTTCATTTGCCAGTTAAGACCTTGCTCCAGAAAATTAGTTTGAAGTACCTGCTTCAGTGGATGTGGAAGTTTAGGTGTGTATTTAAGTTATCCCAAAGCTACCAGTTTTCTGAAAAGTTGTTCTCAGCAGAGATGTTTCCCATGTTTCACACTGCAGATTGTTTGCCTGCCAAACACTCAGTCAGGATAATTGGATAGTTGTGAAATTGGTACCTGTGCTGGCAGGGAATCAGAAGAGACAGTTTTTGCTTTTAAAATGTTTCTTCTTTGATAGACTTATCCCCACACTGTTGGTGACCTGGAGATTAGAGAGGTCATTTGAAACACCTTAAACATTTATAATTAGGCACTGAGTCCAGTCTAAACTTAATATATTCCTAGCCATCAACAGTATGTCATTAACAGTGCATTTCTACTCCTCGCTTTACAAAACTGTGAACATCAAATTCCTCAGCACTTCCCAAGTCATACATAGTCTCAGAACTTTGGTCAGTAAGTGCATTTCCTAAGGGAGGTAATCATGTGCTGTTAAAATCCTTAGGTTACTTTAGTTTGGCTTCTATAACTGTCTGATAAACCTATACACATGAAACCTATCATCAGTCAATGCAAGTGTTACTGTAGTTTGGACTGCAGTCTACTGGCAGCATGAGAACGATGGCTCACTTCCAAAGCAATCAAGGTAAAGTACTTACAAATAAATAAGTTGTATAAGAAAGCATCCTGTGGATGCGACTGGGACGTTTGCTGCTCTCCAAGGCTGCTACCAATAAAAAGGCCTCCTTACAAGGCTTCATTATAAGTAAACACCCTGTAGAAGCACAGGTAGTAAGCAGCTGATTTAAAACAACTGTTATCTGTTGTATTTCACAAAAGAGCACAAGCAGCATGTAACAAACAGCTTCCATTTGTGGGGGTTTGGTTTTTTTTAATAGTTACAGAGATGGCTCTTACAACACATCGCTGTGGTCAGCAGAAAAGAGCATGTACCCATTCATAACAGATGAAGAAACCTCTCCTTACAGTTACTCAGCCATTTTCAATGACGGCGAAATGACCGGCTTCGACTTTGAGTATGACTTTTGTCAGCCGAAAATACTCACGTGCACTCCAGAACCAGATGCATTTAATCCCTGTGAAGACATCCTGGGATACAGCTTTCTCCGAGTCCTGATCTGGTTCATAAACATCCTTGCCATTGCTGGCAATTTCACTGTACTCCTCGTTCTCATCACCAGCCATTACAAGCTCACTGTTCCTCGCTTCCTCATGTGCAACCTGTCCTTTGCTGATTTTTGCATGGGGCTTTATCTGCTGCTCATTGCCTCTGTTGATGCCCAGACCAGCGGTCAGTACTACAACCACGCCATAGACTGGCAAACGGGCAGGGGCTGTAGCGCTGCCGGCTTCTTCACAGTGTTTGCGAGCGAGCTCTCGGTGTACACGCTGACAGTGATCACTATAGAGAGGTGGCACACCATCACCTACGCCATGCAGCTGGACCGAAAGCTACGGCTGAGGCACGCTGTGCCCATCATGCTCGGCGGCTGGATATTCTCCATTTTAATAGCAGTGCTGCCCCTCTTAGGGATCAGCAGTTACATGAAGGTCAGCATTTGTTTACCCATGGATATTGAAACGGGTCTTTCCCAGGCTTACATACTGCTCATCTTAGTGCTAAATGTCGTCGCCTTCATTGTCATTTGTGCTTGCTACATTAAGATTTACATAGCTGTTCAGAATCCAGAGCTGGTAGCTGCCAATAAAGATACCAAGGTCGCCAAGAGAATGGCAATACTGATCTTCACAGATTTTACCTGCATGGCCCCCATCTCCTTTTTTGCCATATCCGCTGCCTTTAAGGTACCTCTCATCACAGTGACAAATTCCAAGATCTTGCTGGTTCTATTTTACCCTGTCAACTCCTGTGCAAACCCATTTCTCTACGCAATTTTCACCAAAGCATTTCGAAGGGATTTCTTTCTACTGATGAGCAAGCTTGGTTGCTGTAAGAGCCGAGCAGAGCTTTACAGAATGAATTACTTCTCTGCTTATACCTCCAAATGCCAGAACGGCGGCTCAGCCACAGCCCCCAGCAAAGCCTAACAAGCACTGCTGCTCTTGTCGACATTAGAGAAGCCGTATCCTGCAGCAGGGGAGAAGATGCCTTACAATAAAAATTAAACCGGAGCCAGCAGATGCAGCACTTTGCAAGGCCAGTTGTAATTATTCTAGTGACTAGGGATTATTTTGTAACATCTTGAACATTTCACAATAAATAAATGATGACCAAGAATTCTTACGCAGTGCAACTGTTCTGACATCTAAAGTGTTATCTTCCCTTTCCTTCTTTTGTAAGGATAGAGACGGAAGGTGACTATCAGGCAAAACTCTTCTTTAGGGGGGACCAGAGGAGCCCAGGAGTAGTCAAGGTACTCTTGAAGTTAACAGGTACTGCAGTGATTGCAGTCTAGCTCTTTTCTCCAGCTCTGCTTCCCTGGAGCATTTAAAGCCTATCTGCTACTTTTCAAGCCTTCTTTTTCCATTGCTGTCAGCTGTGCCAGCATTGTTGGGTTAAAGAAAAGGCCACTAAACTAGATGTCTCCCTTCATTTCATCAGCAGAAACTTCCAGTTACACAGCCACCTACATCCAGCTAAAGAATAATGTTCAAGGACAGGCTGGATGGATACTTGAGCAACCTGGTCTAGTGGAACGTGCCCCTGCCCACAGCAGTGGATTTGGAACTAGACGATCTTTAAGGTCCCTTCCAATCCAAACTATTCTATGATTCTATGAAGCAGTAGGTTGTAAAGATGTCACCAAGGAGA